GTTTACCCAAGGTCAACTTATTCCTAGAGTATCAGAAGGCTAACCCTCAAAATTCCTGTACTCATAAATAAATGTATGTTCTTCTGTCTCTAAAATCAAACCAGCTGTTTCTCAGGCTATAGAATATTATATTCTCCAGACATTTCAAAAATTGTTGGTGGCGCGGTTGCACCCAGCTCTTGGGACTCCGAGGAATGCGCCCACCGCTGTGCTACCATGGCAACAGATGGTTGAACCGATAAGGTGGACGCAGATTTGTGGTCATCCTATCTAACAGCCTGAGGCGCCATAAAGGCCGTGAGGGAGTGCCGACACCTGCGCCCTAGGGAGTGCAGGCGTCTGGCAGTTGCCGGCCGAGGTGTGATAAGAGAAATTCCTCACTTCCCCCATACCTCCTTCTCAGTAAATTTCCACTCTTCTCCTCCAAACTCCCACCCTTACTGCCTAATGATATATAAAGGGGGTCACGGACAATAAAGAGAGAGACTCCTGGATGAAGAACCTTGGTGTCCTGTGTTTTCTTTAACCTCATCGTCCCTCGCCGGACTCGACTCCGATTAGCCGGACGCGGCAAAAAATTATATTTTCCGGACATTTCAAAAATACATATGTCCAAAATGTGAATAATCACCCTCTTTATGGCTGGATTCCTGGACCCAATTCCAGCAGGTTATGTGAAGGCCTTGCCACACCAAAATGTGTCCAAGAATTCAACGGGAATTCACTTAAACCTACCTTCAGGCCAGAGGTGCAGGGGGTGGGGCTGGGACACTGTCTTCCAGGAAGTTGGCATCAGGTTCTGCAGGTTAAGGGCTCAGTCTCTTAAGACCACCCTCCATTTCAGAAGCTGGTTACAAACCTCTGCTTCTGACCAGCTGGCAATAGTTCGGGATTCCCCATCACTGCCTGCCAGTTGCAAGTCCAGATTATTTGTGCCTCTGAATGAAACAGTCTAAGTAAAAGAAATTGCAAGTTGGTGAGGAGCCGGTAATATGTAAACTATAAGCTTCCTGTTTAAACAACTAAATTGGATGTCGGGCTGAACTGCCCCGGCATCCTGTTTAAACAGGTGGACTAAATCACAGACTAGCAGGTCTGCCTTTCATCCTATTCAAACACTTGGGCACACAAGATTGACCAAAGGCACCAAGCTAGACAAAAAGTATTAGATCCTGCCTAATGATTATCTCACAATTTCCTGGAGGGTGGAAGCTGAGAGACCTCGTTTGCACTTGGAATGTAACCAGTTTGCACCCAGAACATGCTATGAAGCTGCTCTCCTTTACTCCACCACATAAACCTACCCTTTATTTATTTATTTTTAGAGATTGATTTATTTATGCATCCACAAACTGGGCTACAAGCCAGAGGTGCAGGGGGTGGGGCTGAGAGGATTCAACTGAAACAATGGGGAACAAAACAGGCAGATTGACTGAAATACACAGCTGAGGGGAGCAGTGGGTGAGACAGGTGAGTTCTGCCATGCCATGTGGGTCACCTCCCTGGCCAGGGATACAACCACGAGTTGGAATTTGTGGTTAGACCCCTGCTGTGGTTGTCAATTGCTTCATAGTGAAGCAACTTAACCCCAAGCACAAACAGACCCTGGAACTGCCCTTTAAATAAATCTTGCTAACTTCCATTGGGGAGCCAGGCTAACTTTCTCCTTTTCTGGTACTGGTTCTCTCATGCATGAGTCTCTGATAAAGCCTTGCTGAGTTCAACCAAAACTTTAGTAAAATATTTCTCCAGGGAGTCCTGGACCTACAAGTACAATTAATTGCTACAATGACTCACAGAAATTTAGGAAACCCTATACCCACTAGATCACCAATGTATCACCAAGTGTACTAAAGGTCTGAATCAACAGCCCCCAAAAATACATCGGGTGAGACATGGGACAAAGAAACTCCTGTCCTCTCAGAACTTGGGGTATGAAAGGCAACATATGGAAGCATTTTGGCTCCCCAACCTGAACCTTTTGCAAGTTTCCCCCCTCCTGAATTTTTATGGTGACTTCATTCTGTAGGCTTGATTCATTGGCCAATGGTGATTGATTTGAACTTCTAGCCCCTTTCCACTCCAGAAGGTCAGGGAGTGGGACTGGAAGTTCCAACCTTTCATGCTGGTTCTCCCAGGCAGCTAGTCCCCATCCTCAGGTCCTCCCAAAAAGTGAGCTTCATAAACACAGACACTCTTGACACAAAAGAAATCCTAAGGGCTTTGGGGACAGTTGTAAGCCAAAAACTGTGAAGACCAAGTATATATGAGAAATACATTTTGGTCATGATTGCCTAACAAATGGGTATTTCCTATAAATCACAGTACCGCATTTCCTTAGCCCCTTCAAAAAGAAACAAACCCCCCCTGGAATCATGTCAATGAATGGGGGCATGGTACCATTCAGTTCTTCACACCCAAACTTTTACAAAGGGGCCCCCAAATCCAGCCCAACCAATTCCTAAATCCTACCAGTTGTACCTTCATTATCTCTCCAATCTATTAGTTTAGGCACTTATCAGAAGACTCCTCTTTGGCCTTCTTGCCTCCACTTGTGACCATTTTGTCACACAAGAGTTCTTTCTGGAACTCATTTTTCCTGTGCATGACCTATCTTTGCTTTACACCTACTTCTGACTGACTTGAAGTTCTCCAGACAAACCTAAATTGTTTAACCAAACACCAAGTCATCAGACTTCTAGACCACCCTGTTCATATTCAGCCAGCCCACTCTAATTTTACAGTTTGCAATCTGAGGATAATTTTCACATTTTTATTTTTCAAATACAATTTTTTGACTTACATTGGTTAACAATACTTAACAATACTATATAAATTCTGGAAACACGGCTTCACACCGGTTACATTTTAAAATGATACAAATAAAAAGATGAGAATTTCATCACAGAAGACATTCGAATAAAATTTTATTAGAAGGGAGTACTACCTACTGTACTATATAAAGTGGGTTCTTGAGTTCCTCACTCAAGATTCAAATTAGGGACTCTAACAGTCAGTTCTGAAGCCATAGAGCAAGAGCCCCAGGAATACCTCAAGGGTGAGCATCTACCAAATGACAACAGGCTCTCCCTTGTATAGGTCCCAAGAAGCCTATACAATGCTAAAAGGAGGGATGATGTTTTTGGGATTAGCTGGAGGCAGCTCTGTAACTGAGCTGGAAACCACACTTCTTCAAGTGTCACATGTTCAGAGCCCACCTGGGCAGAGACCTTAGCATTATAATGAGGACCAGGTAGAGGACATTTGGGGCTTCTTTTCAAGACACATGTACCACCAGAGGGGTTAGACCAGGCTGCTTTGGGGGAAGAGACAAGTCCAGGAGGCTCCCCTTCTCAGCTACAGTGTGCAATGTGCTACTATGACCTACAGAATGTCCTTCCATGGAACTAACTCCATCTTAGCATTATCAGCAAAAGAGAAGTACAGATCTTTCAAGTAAAAGGAAAATATCTCCTTTGAGTCAAAGCTAAAGAGGGTAGCCTGGGAGGGACAGACTCAAGAATCAGTAGCTGAGTTGTTTGAAGCCCCAATGGCATTTTCCAGTACCAAAAGTTCAGAATTTGATTGGATGGCATTAAAGTTCAGACTGCAAGTATACAAGTCTTTTAAGACAACAGGTGGCATCCACCAGCAAAATTCATCTTCTGCAAAAGGCACTTGGAGGCTCTTAGAAAGGAGAATTTGGTCAGATGTTTTAAGGATGCAGCCTCCTACCTGGACAATTTTTATCCAGTCACATGTACATTGACCTTCCTCTGGCCGAAGACACTCCATCTTTGGATTTCACCTCCCTCACTACAAAATAAGGCTGATTCCAACTTCACAGATCATGTAATAATAATAGATATTGGGAAAGGGGGTGCTGAAGTTAACAGACTCCATCTTGCACCTGAAATTCCATCTTGCTGAACTTTGTTTTTAAAACTATTTGCTGTGGGGGGTTGGGGTGGGTGGGAGAAGTACAGGTTTCGTACTGGGCACAATTTCTTCCAAAACTGTGCAAAAATACTTAATGTTGGAAGTGACCAAAGATTTACTGACAAGGACTGAATTAGGGAGGTAAAGAATTTTGCCTTGCATCCAAGCTTGATAAGGTGGTAATAAACTGACCTTGCGTCCAGGATCGGACTAGCTGAAGGTGACAGTGAACTGGGCCTCACATCAAGGACACAGCGATGAGTCACCCCCTTGGGAATCTGAGTTTAGAATCTATATAAGAGACCCTTCCTCCTATTGAGTTGGCAGTAGCTCCGGACCCCACCGTAGGGGCTCCGTCTCAGCTGCTGTCTGGGAGCAATAAATTCTGCTTGTTCAGCCTTTCTGCCTCCCACCTTCCTTTCTGGCTGCCGGTCACAGAAGTTGGGACAAAACACTTAGTCTTCTTTTCCCTGCTAACCAAGGCCAATTTAAGGAAAACTCAACAGACAGAGAATGAACACACAAACATAGTCTGCAGACAGCCATAGCCTTCCCCAGAGCCGTCCCCCGGCAAACCCTTCAGCACAATCCCCACCCACAGTGGGGCAGTTTGGGCTGCCGCCTGAAATTGTGCCCCCCAACTTGCAAATCGAAGCCCCTAACTCGGCGCTGCCATGTTGTTCGTTTCCTGCAGTTTTCTGGGCTGATGGCAGCAGGCGCTCGGAAAACCGTCGTGACTCCTCATCCTCTGGGCACTCTGGAGCACTGAGATCCGGCGTGCGCCGCCTGAGTAAGAGCAGCAAGCTCCCAGGAGACCCTGTTGGCTCGCGGCTGGGCGGCTTCCGCAGGCGGCGGGACCTCTAGCTGCAGAGCTCCCAGAAGGGTGCGCCCAGCCACGACTGGGAAGACTACAACTCCCGTCCTGCCTCACGCGCACTTAGGGCTCCTCTACATTTTTCGCCCCAGGCCAGTCTCGCAACTCTGACTGGCTCCGCCTCCTAGAGGCTCGCCTCTTTCCCAGGTCGCCCTCCGAGGCGGGCCAGGGAGCCGGAAGTGTCCGTGTGGCGTCACGGGGCGTCGGTCGTGCGCAGGGCCGGGAGTTGGAGGACGGTCTCTGGGGTGCTGACCGGCTAGGCACCGCTGAAGAACCTCAGAACCTACAGCGGGCGGCCGCGATGTCGGATTCTGCGGTTAGCCGGCTGCTGGACATGTGAGTCCGCCCGCCCGCCTCGGCCCCGCCTCCCGACCTCCGGAGAGGCCCCCTCATCCTCCCGCGGTGGCCCTGCGAGAGGCCCTGAGAGCGGCTTTCCCGGGGCTTCTCGGGCTCACCAGGCCTCTGAAACGCGCCCGTCAAGGGACTGGCCGCTCCGGCTGGAGCCGCAGTCGCCGCCCTTTCGGCCCCCCCGGCCTTGGACGTGGTGGCATCGGCCCCTGAGCCGCGGGGATGTGCATCTGCCGGAGGCGCCCGCGGGTGGGCTGCGGTCTAGGTGCCCACCGCGGGGCAGAGGGTTCTCCTAATGCCGAGGCAGGGCCCAAACCTCAGTTCCCAGAACCCCGTTACCTCGTAAAGTCAAGTGTGATGGTTTTTCAATTTCAGGTGTCCTGACTTTGCATTCACGTTAAGAATGTCCAGGCCATCAGCCCGTTTGATGAGCAGTAACGGAACCTAACTGATAACAGGCAGAAAAGGCTGCTTTTATTCATGATACACATTGTAGGTGGTAATCAAAATCAGTAGTTATATTGCTCTTAATATTAGCTATATAAGACCTGACTTGACATAATCGTACTACTTTTTTGAATAGATGGCAAATAATGTACATTAAAGAAAAAAAAAGTAAAACAACTAAGGGTTAGTAAAGGAAAAACAATCGATTTAATAACAAATATGGAGAAGTCACACGGTAAATAACAAAAAGGGACTGGGAATATCTGTCCGTTCTGTGTTTGGGAACCCGGATGAAGGAGAGACGGGTGACCTTACCCTCACTCTGAGAGCAAAAAAGAGATTCTCAGATACAAAATGTTCACTGACATATCTACTGTTAGAGTTCAAGAAATGCTGAGACACAGAACCGATGCAAAAGCCAAGTACAAGCCTTTATTGCTAGCCCGGGCTGCGGTCCAATCCCCGGAGGGTACCGACGCAGCGGTCTCACCAGACAGGATGGACCCTAGCGCGGGCTAGCAAAAAAGGCTTGTACTTGGCTTTTGCATCGGTTCTGTGTCTCAGCATTTCTTGAACTCTTAACACCTACACCTGGATGAGATCCCCAGACTACATCCTTCCAGGTCATGGCAGAGGGGGTGATATTGCCTCTCGGACTAGGAAAAGGGCAGAAGCCCAGGACTGGAGGATTTCTTCAATCAGGGAAGGAGGAGGACTCAGGTGAGGATCCAGGTTCAGGTAGAAAACCTAAAATTACTTACCTATTTTATCTTAGCTGTAACTTTCTTACAGTCCAGTTAAAATATATTATCTTTGTGAGGATATCTTGAAAATGCTGATGTCGATGTTTTAGTTAATGTGGGTTAACTGACTACAGTTGTTGGCATGAAATTACTAGTCCCAATAGATTAATATGGCTTAGTCAACCTTTTTGTTTATGATTCAGGCACTGCTTTTTCCTGTGGGGTGTGGGTAAGCAAGACCCTGTGAGCTACTTTGAGTATGCTGGGTGCCGTCATTTATAATTTAGAGGGCATTCCCACTGGTACAGTTTTGTTAAAGTTAATAGAAAAGCTGAGACCAAATCTTCTGTGTTTTAAGTTTTTACTGAACTTATGTGGGCATTTTCAGTGCCTTTAATTATTCAGTTATATTAACTGTAGGCTCTATGGATTCACTGTCTAGGGGACAGTGTCACTGCAACTCATGGGGGGGGATTTTTGTCAGCTTTCAGGAAATTTGGAGACTGACTAAAGTTTCTTTTTAAGGGACTTAAAATATCCTTTTTTATAGTCACCAAAAAAATCAAATATAGGGACATACCAGTCTATTTAAACTTTGCAATTAAAGTAGTGTTGGTGGGCTGTGAAATTGTTAGGTAAAAACAAATGTAGAGATTTTTTTGTTTTAAATTTCCTTAGTTTTGCCAAGTTTTTGCATTTAATTAATTGTTGGCAAAGTCAGGTTTGATATGTATTAACTGCATTTTAATCTTGGTTTGGGATTTGCCAGTTGACACCATGGCATCTTACTCTATAGTCCTTGGTAAGTTTGGCCACGCCTACACCCAGCACCCCATCCTCCTCACTGGTCACAAGGGATTGTGGCAGGAGGGCCAGCTGACATTCTACACTTATGCAGAGTGGCTTTTGAGAGGCTGCTTGCCTGTGATCAAACTTGCAATGTTTTTGGTTCACTCAAAGCTGTCAAGTAGCAAGATCCTCTCTACTGATTCCATTTATTTCAGCATCAAGGTGCAGTGGCCTCAGAAGCCCGAGGAGCCCGAGGTTCATTACCAGATTGTCACAACACCCCCTTCTCCCACACAGTGATCAGTGACCAAAACACCATTCAGGGGCGTATTTTAGTCCTACCTCCACTCACTAAGCCCCACCACCAGTGGGGATGGTGGAGGATCTTACACCCACTTCACCTGCTAGTAGCAATCACACCACATCTCAGGGTGCATTCTTGTATCTTCAGAGCTGGTCAACAGGATTTTTGTATTTCCTCTTCCATGAAGCTGCATTTCTGCCAGCATCCCAGTCTCATTTGCAAATTGTCAGAGCTAGGGTTTGATTTTACGTGTACTCAGAGGCCACACTGTTAGTACTGCTCAGATATTATATTGGTGAAGACACAAGATTTCCAGCTGACGTCAGAGGACCTGGTTCCCCACAGCAGCAGCATAGTACCTGTCACCTCCTCTATAAGCCCTCTGGGCGAGACTCAGGGTTCCCATGGGTGCTTGCAAGCTGTAGGAGCCAGACGCCAAGTATGGGGAGCCTCCATTTCAGAGCAAGCAATAAGCAAATGTGATCTACTGAGAAGTGGCTCAAATAAAGAGCAGCCAACGCCTCCCAGGCATGGAAGACCTAATGTGGCCACATACTAGAATTGGGACATCATCTCTCCTTAATTTTAAATAACTTGCCAGCTTTATGGGTTATTTTATACACGCACACATACATATCACCCTTCACAAGAATTGTTTTAGAGGAAGCTGGTTATATATTTGAAAGAGGAGTCCACATGTCTTATCAATGAGATGCAGATATTTGCTAAGTGGGTGAGGAGACTGATCAGATTCAGAAGACACAGATGGCAGTGCAAGCTGCTCCAAGGTAAAGCAAGCCTGAAATTGAAATTACAAAACAGCCACTGGAAGTCCTAAGAACATACAGCAAATTGAGGCAGACTTATTCAAGGTAGTGTCCTAAAGCTGAGTAAGGCTCGAGGTGCTGCCTCCATAGCAAGGCGGCTGCCTCTTCCACAGCTCCTTGTGAGTGGCAGTATCTTCCCAGCAGAGGCAGGGCGCCAACATTTGTCACACCCTCCTCTTCAGATACTCCAGATGCTCCAGGACAGTGGGGAGGTGCGAGAGGACCTACATCTGCCTGAGGGAGACCTTGGCAAAGAGATTGAGTAGAAGTACGACTGTGGAGAAGAGATCCTGATCACGGTGCTGTCTGCCATGACAGAGGAAGCAGCTATTGCAATCAAGGCCATGGCAAAATAACTGGCTCCCAGGATAGCGGTGGTGGCAGCAGTGATCCTCGAACCTGCAGAGGCCCCTACCCCCAACCGTTGGCCGGATTCCTACAATTTATTTGATGTTTTATTTTGGTTTTCCCCACCCCCTCAATCTGTCGGGGAGCTCCTGCCCCTCATCCTGCTCCCTTGGCCGGGAGTTCAATGAACCATGGCCTTGTGAAGCTGCCCTTCTCTTCTCCCCTCGCACTACAGCCCTGGTGGGAGAGAGGGGATGGGTGCTGCTTATGGTTTAGTTGTTTTCTGGTTGTTGTTTTTTTTTTTTTAAATTCAACCTGGAATCAGAAAGCTGTGGATTCTGGCAAGTGGTCCTTATCATTCCTGGTCTTGTTCCTTGTTTCCAATACTCCTTTACCCGGTACCACCCATAGACTGGGGACCTGCCTATGCCTGTGTCTCTCCCCAAATCCCTTTTGGTGGGGAGGAAAGAAAAGGAGAAGGGAGGGCACCTGCCCCCTCCTCAGGGATCTGGGAGGGCCATGTCCCCATGGGCTTTACCCTGTCCTGTGGGCTCTCTCCCCGACACAGTTGTTAAAATCAAACCTGAATAAAACTACAGGTTTAATATGAAGCCCACCCCCTGCCTCAAAAAACAAAACAAAACAAAACAAAACAGAAAACCTGGGGTTTGCAACTTCACCCAACCTGCTCACTGGACAGAGGCTGTCCCTTAACTGCACTGAGCTGACAATACCAGGCCCCTGACCTCTTCATCCCTCCTCATCCATGGGTGGAGGTTCTCTTGGAGAAGAGATGGGTCAGGGAGACCAGAGCCCACTGCCTAGCACCCTGCTCCTGAAGCAGAGAGGCACTCAGAGTAAAGTGCTCATTGTACCCTTCCCACTCTTGAGATTGTGACTTGGAGATTTTTCACAGGGGAAGAGACAGGCTGTCAGGCCTAGGGATGATTCAAGCCTGAGGACTCCGAAAACTAGTGGAGATCTGGCATTATTTACAGGGAGGCTGGTAACTTCATGGGAAACATAAGCCATAGGACAGAGGGTTTATTAGACAGGATGAGGGAAAGGGACATCTAAGAAGAGCCTGTGGTCAGAACAAACTCAAAACCCACTGTAGAAACTAACAGTACAAAGGAGTCAAAGGGAATTAATTGGACAGTGGTTAAAACAGAGCAGGGTTAAAACAGCAGTCTGCAGTGAGAAAAAGCTAACAGCTGGATGCAATACCAGTAAAGGCTTCCAGCATAGTCCTGGAGATAGAGATCTCAAACCCCTGTCACCTCAGGGTGACAAGTGTTGCTGTCTAAGGCTATGCCCTGAGGGATTAAAGGACATCAGAGGTGCCCACAGTAAGGAAAACAGGCCTTACTAAAATAACAGTCTGCCACTAAACAAATGACACCTCCAGTTGGGGGTTGGAGAGTGTTAATATATCCAGAGTCACTGCATTTATGTATCCAAAATGTCCAGTTTTCAACGAAGAATTCTAAGACAAGCAAATAAACGCGACCCAGGTACAGGGAGGAAAACAGGCAACAGAAGCTGCCTTTGCATGGCTTCGAGTTTGGGCTGGTCACAACTTCAAAGAAGCTACTATAATGTTTCCAGAGCCCTGGAGGAAGACATAGTGAAGAAGGAAAGGAGAAACCCATTTGGCAGTTCCTGGGAAAGTAAGCATAGAATGATCATACTATACAGGTGTTCACTCTAGGTGTATACCCAACAGAATTGAAATTAGTCATCACTCAAATGCATGTATACAAGTCTTCACAGCAGTACCTGTTATATTAGCCAAAAGGGAGGAACAGCCAAACTGTCCATCAACTCAAGAATGGATCAGCAAAATATAGAATATCCAGATAATGAAATAGCACTCTGAAATAAATGAATGAAGTACTGATAACTGATACTACATGGATGAACCTCTAAGAACATTACATGGACTGAATTCATTTCTAGGAAATAACTTGAATGGATAAATAGAAACTAGAGAGCAGATTGGCAGTTACCAGATCCTGGGGAGAGGGAAGAATAGTTTGGACTGATGAAATGTTTTCCACTATATAGGAGTGATGGCTACGACATGAATGGACTGGATGCCAGAGAGTTGTACATGTTTAAATGATTAGTTTTATCCTATGTGAATTTTGCCTCAATTGTAAAAATAAAATAAAAGGAACAATGCAAAGTCTGATGACATCTCATCATAAATAAGTAAAGAAAGTTACACATGTAAATTCTGGAGTTTAATAAAACTCTTGATGGAGTAGGATGAAATGAAAACTTGATTTGAAAAATAAGTGAAGAATTTTATACATTTAGAAAAAATAAATATAAAGAAGAAGACTATCAAGCAAAATACATCTGTGGTCACACATGTACAGAGATATAGACACATCTAATACCCACACATAACATTAAATCTCAGGTTATGAATATACAGTCTTATGAATATAAGTCTATATATTATAGAGCAGGTACGAAGTCATGTATTTGACCACAAAAGCAAACTTGTACAACCATAAATCAAAAAATAGTAATATGTATTATATAATGTTACAAACCCATGTTACCTAACAAAACTTTATTGTGGTAAAACTTTATTTACAAAATAGCTAAAATGGACAAAAGATGAGTAGTTTATAAAAAAGCTTATCTAGATAGCCAGCAAATTCATGAAAAGATACGAAGTTTACTAATATTGGGAATATACACATTGATGAAAATCTACTTTTCACTCACAAGAGCTTCCAACATTTAAAAGTAGGTGGATCTTAATAACATTGATAAGTGAAAAATTAAACAAATCTATGATCAATACCATACCCGTGAACTAGAAACACTTGCTTATAACATTCATATTGTAAGGACACAGGTAGCAGATGGGTAGATAATCAAATGGTTTTCTGGAGTGGTAGGCAATGAGAACAGGAAACAAAAACAAATAGAAAAGTAAATAGAAGTGAAGGACAATCCGTTGCTGAAGGGGTGTGGGGGCAAGGGAGCACTGCTGCTGGAAACAGTGTTAGAGACTTTCTAGAAAACAGTCTTAAAATACACGTCAGCATATTCTAGAAACACAGGGACAATACTTACATGGGAATGGCTAGATAAAACATTGTGAAATGTTATACAGCCACTAAAGGAGAATTTAAACTATAGTTGGTGCCTTGAAGAATTTCATGATGTTGAAAGATGTGGGAGAAGGCCCCAAGTTTTTGCGTGTGTATGGGAGTGTGTGTACGGCAGCACAGAGAAACATCAGGAATGTTCAGGAGTTTAGAGTGAAGAATTAAATTAGTAACAGAGGGTAAGACAAAGGCAACCAGCAGGAAAATAGTAAGTTGTACCAAAAACTTAAAAAGTATTTCTTCTTAAAACTACTTAGTGATGGAGTGTTCTGTATATGTGGGGAGTCTTTGTAGACAGAAATTCAATCCCCAGTGTGTTTATTTAAAGTCTGAATTTCTCAGGGGGTGGGATTTCAGCCCAACAGGAAGTGTGTAGCATGTATGGTCTTGATTGTTGCTTCTGTGACAACTCATACACAATATGAGTATGGAGGTTGTTATGTCTGTGGTTTGTATTATTTACAGAATCTTTGAAATCACTTGTCTAGTGATTTCATTACCTGCTTGATTTTTAAAGAAAATAGTGAAGACAAGTTGGCTGGATTCACAGACAATACTTTTCAATTAGTGAGCCCTAGTTCAGCGTTTATTTAGGAATAACTGTGTTTTAGAAATTGAAGAGACTGCCATAGGAAAAATACTTGTTTGTTTGTTTGTTATTTGGATTACATTTTAACAAACGAGGTATGTGGAGAAAAAAAATGTACAAGGGCATCTTGTGTTCCTGGCTGAGTCCAGACTGGCTCATATGTGTCCATCTTTAGGGGTAAATATTAATATCAAAATGCACCCTGCTTACCAGAGGACTGAATACTAACACAGGGGCAGGCTTTATTGGGGGTGGGTGGGGCATACCAGGGCAATTTCATTTTTACATTGTGTTTGTATTTCAGATGCCTTTGGTACTTTGTGAATAACATTTCCAGATACATCACAGAGATTAAGCCTCTGCCTCCCAACATAAAAGATCGGTTTCTTAAAATAATGAGCCTAGAGGGACAGATAACAGATTCAAATATAAGCGAGGTAAGAGCACGTACAGCTGTAAAGCAAGCTTATTTCACCTTGTGTTTTGATACAGGTTCATATTTTTGGAGCAAGCTGTATGGCAGGATGACTAATCATTTGAAAATACAATGAAGCATTGAAGTTTTTTTCTCCAGAAAACCATCTTATCCGTGCATAATCATTTTTAAAAAGCCTCCTACTGATCTTTCATTTCCTTCCCTGGTCATCATACCAGCACCTTTGCTCTTCTTGATTTGAAAAGGTTGTGAACTTTGTGCTCAATGATACCTCAATAAAGCTGGGGGAAAAAATGCAGCACGAATAAATGGCCAAAACCAGTAAGAAACAGATGCTACATGGCCACTCTGGTGGACAGCCACACTTCTGTGTGACAGTGCTGCAGGCAGCACCCTGGAGTATTTCTGTTTTCTGTTATTTCATTTAAAACATGTTGGTTCTGGTCTACTAAATTGATCTATTCATGGAGAGAGATTAGGAGTTAAAAAACATGTTCTGAATCCTACTCATTTGTACTTACGCCCTTCCCTACAGCCACACTAACCTTCCTCAAGACAACTGTGCCTTGAGCTGACTTTTCTTTGAAGACTATGGAATAGTAAAGACCTCACATCTGTAGGAAGCCCGCAGTCTTACACTCTTCCTGACTTCAAGCCTCAGTTTTCTAAACTTGAGTGGTTTCACAGTTACCATTGCTGTCTGCAGACAAGAACTGCTGACTTCCGACTTGATCACACATCTGGCCCTCAGCCTGGGTCAGAAGGAAGAAGGTTCTGATTCCAGCACGCTAGGACGTGGCTTTGCTGAGGGTCATATGCCTTCACTTGCTTCGTGCTTGTCCACTCACATGGTGTCCTTTTCATGCTCTGTGTTACTCACGGTCGCTGGCATTTGAATATGGGCCTGTTAGTGCTGCATCTGCTTGCTTCCCGGGAGGTGGAATGGTCTCTCCAGGTCCTGGTTGCTGGTGACCACATATCAGCAGGCACTGCTCACACACAAAATGTGGCCCCACAAACACTGGTGCTTTCCCTAAATTCCCACCATCCCCATCTTTCTTATGCCATTAGCCTGTATTTCTGTGACTTAATGTTTTGTTTTATGGAAATCCTTACCATTCCTTTAGACCTAGTTTTACCTGAATAAAAAAGGTTAAGGGAGTGAGTAGGCTAGAAAAACACAGAGGAGTGATTTCTCCTGGTGCCTTCTGTTGAGTCCCCATCTTTACAGAAGTCTGGCTTGGGAGATAGTTTAAATCTTTGGACAACTCTTTGACTATTTCCTAAATCTTTTTATATGCTCTGGATAGAGATGACCTTTTAAAGCATGGCACCATTACTAGAAAGCAAGAAGGAGAAGATTGATGGATTTGCTCACATAGAAATATAAGTTTCTTTATGGCAGGAAGGAACCAGAAAGTCAAGTAGCCAAGAAAAATATTTGCAATGTGTGAATCTACAAAGAAAAACCAAAACAGAAGAATCAGGAAATACTCAAAGGAGAAAATATTTATCAGTGGCATATAAAAGAAATGTTTAATGTCATTAGTAATCAAGTTTAGTTTGTCTTGAGTTGGGCAGAGCCCTGAAAAGTATTAAACTGCCTCGTCTGCCCTCTGCTGGTGGGAATGTAGATTTATTTTATAACTTTTTAAAAAAGATTTATTTATTTATGCATACAGAATTGGGGTGCAGCCAGAGGTGCAGGGGTGGCGAGAGGATTCACTAGAGACATAGTGCAGCAGAGGCAGAGGATTCACCAGAGACAGACAGGCTGAGCTGCGGTTAGCTTGCAGTACTGCGCTTACACACACTGCACCTCTAGAGAGAGCAAGTTTTATTATTATTTTTTAAAGATTTATTTATTGGCCCTCCCTGGTGGAGCAATGAGTGAAAGACCCACAGCCTCTTCAGTGCGAGTTCAATCCCCAGCCCGGGAGATGACCCACATGGTGTGGCAGACCTCTCCTGGCCCAGCCTACTGCTCCCCTCAGCAGTGTACTTCAGTTCATCTGCCTATTCTGCTCCCCACTCTGTCTCTGGTGAATCCTCTCACCAGCCCTGAACCTCTGGTCCTCACACCAATTCTGTTTGCACAAATAAAGTTTTAAAATCTTAAAAAAAAAAAAAAGATTTATTTATTTTTGCATACAAGAACAGGGGTACTGGCCAGAGGTGAGGGGGGGAGGTGAGAGGCTTCACCAGAGACAGAGTGGGGAGCAGAACAGGCAGATTGACTGAAGTACACTGCTGAGGGGAGCAGCGGGCAGGTCAGGAGAGGTCTGCCGTGCCATGTGGGTCACCTCCCTGGTCAGGAATTGAACTCGTGCTGCAGTTCACTTCATAGTGCTATGCTTCAACCTGTTGTACCACCAGGGAGGATCCTGTAGATTGATTTTAAAAAACACCTTTTAAGAGTATAGTTTGGCTTAACTTTCTAACTCCTAAGAGTTTGCTTCCCATCAACTCAGTGGCTTTGCTTCTCTGGCTTTCCTGAATATGATGGTGTGCAGTGCTGTGATTTGTGCCTTTATTGCAGGATAGTCATCAAAACCCCTCAATTAGGTGTGGCTTTTGGTATTAATCTTAAAATAATAATGAGACAAGAACAGGAACATGCTCATTTACAATAATAAAAACAGATGACAGCTATTGGCATATATGGTAAGTGAGGCACCTTTATTTCTGTTGAATATATAACTGGAGGCATCTTTATCCCTGTTTTAACACTGATGACAGACATAAAAGTAAAAGAACCTGATCACATGCATAGGCATTAAACTTGGTCTGCTCCAGACTACGGCTCCTTCATCATAACACCAGGTAGTCCCCTACTTCAGCTGAAATGGCCAACTGAAGCATGTGCCCCAGAAGGGTGTGTTGAATGAGTGTTGGTATGTGCACACTGTGGAATAGTATGCAGCCACAAGCAATTACCTTGATACCTCATCTAGGGCCCTCCCTGGTGGCACAACAGTTTAAAGTGCAGCACTATTAAGCTACCACAGCCACTGCAGCACAAGTTCAATCCCTGGCCAGGGAGGTGACCCACATGGCATGGCATACCCTTCCTGTCCTGCCTGCTGTTACCCTCAGCAGTGTATTTCAGCAGATCTGCCTGTTCTGCTCCCCACTCTGTCTCTGGTGAGCCCTTTCACTTCCTGGCGCCTTTGGCCTATACCCCAGTTCTTGTGTGCATAAATAAATAAATTTTTTTTTTAAAGTCCTCACCTAATAGTATATATGATCTGTTGCCATTTCTCCTCAAAACCTCTTTTAAAGTTCCCAAACACTAATATTTTTTTGTCTCTGGATGTTAGTACTAAGGACAATTACAGTTACAGTGGTTAAAAACATGGCCTTTGGAATTGGAAATGCCTGGGGTCCAGTCCTACCTTTGCTCCTTTTTGGGTGTATATTATGTGTTGGCTACTTAAGCTCTGGATGTCTCAGTCCCCTCATTTATATAGTGGCAATGACTGGTTTCACCATGTGTGAGAGAAAGAGAAAGGAGAATAGTTAATGATGTATATAACATTTAATACCCTTCCTGATAAGACCCCAGTTATTTATATTTTGTGTTATGAGAATGTTTTTGCAAAGTAACAGCATTTTTATAGTCAGAAAAGTAAAGCCATTTTGATTTCTCAAAAAATAAAAAAAAAATGGAAGAGAACTCAAATTGCTTTGAAATTGATCTGCTAAATTTGAGGCACTTAAATAAACTGGATTGTTTGGTTGGTTTGTACTGCTCCCAAAAGTAAAAAAGGAAAGAGGTAAATATGGATAAAGTAGTGGTCACACCCTTTCAGCTTTTGTGTAGAAAGGGTCATAGAGGGACTGCTGTTGAGCACAGGGGTGCACTCTAGCATCTGCACCCATCAGGACCCCCCTCCCCCAATGGAGGCCAGAAACTTGGCTCTGTGCAGCAGGAGAGACCTAGTGGTGTCCCCCTGCAACAGAGCTCTGCACTGCATTGGCCCTTGAGGCTGTGGCCACCAGAAGCAGTACCTACAGAGGACACAGGCTTCAGTATCTCTCCAAACAGATGTTTCTGTTTTCTTTGCTCTGTTGTCCACCAGACATTTTCTTGATCAACAAACCTCTGAATATGGATAAGTATGAATGATAAGTGTGTGTGTCATTCACACTTACAGAAGAAACTGATGTTTTAAAATCACGGCATTATTACAGATTTTGCATCCTGAAGCCCAAACCCTGAATGTGGAAAACTGTGAGATTTCGGACGCTGCCCTCCTGCACGTGTGTAACTGCAGGAAACTGAGACGGTTGAATCTAAGTTCCCTCGATGAAAATAGAATCTCCATCACTTCGGAAGGTATGTTTCTTAATGCGGAGTAAATTGGGAGATTGCTGTTCACCATTTAGTACAATTTTGAAACAAAGGAGGGGGAAATGTGTCAAAAGTGAATATGAAGATGTCAAAGGAATAGAAACTATCAAAATATTCATACTGTGATAAGAATACTCTCTATTTTGGATATTTTGCCCAGTACAGTGGAAAGTGAGATGACCAGCTTTGTGAAGACTTATTTAAAAGATTTTATTTTTATTTATTCACATATACAAGAACTGGGCTATAGGTCAGAGATGTGGGGGCCAGGTTGAGAGGATTCACCAGAGTGGGGAGCAGAACAGACAGATCTACTGCTGAGGGGAGCAGTGGGAGAGACAGCAGAGGTTTGCTGTGCCATGTGAATCAACTCCCAGACTAGGGATCAAACTCACATCACTGTGGCTGGTGACAGCGCTGTGTCTTTAACCCTTGCACCACCAGGGAGGCCCAGATTTTTACCACTTTTTAAAATAAAGACCTTTTTTTTCCTCCAATACTTGATTTTTGCCTTTTTTTTTTTCAATATAAGAAAGAGGGATTTATTTGGCTACTTAGGTTTCTCAGCAATTTTACGGGTGATTGATTATACTTTATAGTCATCTTGGCAAGTTAGGATATTCTTAAGAATGCAACAGCATGAGCTTTTTCAATGAGTTTTCAATCAACAATAGTGATTCACTGAAAACAACTTTCATGCTTGTCTCTGATTAATATGAAAATTCTTTCTAAGCTATGGAAAACAATAAAAGTGACCTACACCTGAATTCATTATTGATAAATGGTGTGAAAATACCATTTTGTATATTTTTACCATGAAGATATCTTTTTTCTGTAAAGATAACTTTTTTTCTGGTGCAGGCCAGAGGTTCAGGGAGGATGAGAGGATTTGCCAAAGACAGTGTGGGGAACAGACAGGCGGATCCACTGAGGTCCACTGTCAAGGGGAGCAGCGGGCGAGACAGGAGAGGTCTACTGCACCATGTGGGTCACCTCCCTGGTCGGGTATTAAACTCAGGCCATAGAGATGATGGCGCTGAGAGGCCACCACAGAAGCCCCCATGAAGATCAGCTCTAAGTTTGTCTATCAGTGAAAGGCAGCAGCTCTGCGGCTGTCTATTCCTGAGGCTCATTGTCCAGTGCCACCCTTCTGTGTGCACTTCCCAGCTCAGCTGGGCTCAGGTATGATTCCTCAGACTGGTCATGACAATGACCACTTAAAACATTTGGATAATTTAACTGTTGATTTCCCTTGGAAGTTAACACAGAATTAACTTTATTACCTTAAGACTTGTTTGAACAAGAAGGTTGATCTGTTAATTGCCCAGAATGGTTCTGCCTTTTGGCTATTTTCTAAAATGCTAATCTACTTGTAAACAGTAGAAGTTTGCCATTAACTGCAGATATTCTGAGGACTATGTTGCAGGCTCTGTGGACACTTTCTAAAGGGTGTTAAATCATGACAGACAAATACCCTCCCAGGTGGACCCCTTTGAGGAAGGCTCATACCCAGGCGGCATGTCAGTCTGGGATCCAGGAAGCAGAGCCAGCACGTGCCTTGCACACGTGCTTCCTATGCACACACTGATCCATCATTGTTTCCCTCCAGGATTAAAAGCTGTGGCTTCATCTTGTTCATACCTGCAGGAAGTTTCTTTGAAAAGATGCACCAATCTCACCGATGAAGGAGTCCTTGCTTTTGCCCGCAATTGCCGGCTGCTAAAGCTAATCAATATAGGCGGCTGCCTTGGGATCACTGATGTGTCCTTACAAGCACTGGGAGAAAACTGCCCACTTCTGCAGTGCGTTGACTTTTCAGGGACTCAGGTAAGTGAATCCTAGCCCCAGACCCAGAGACTGTTCATCGCAGCATTTTCTTGACTGCTCAGAGAGTGTCCTTCATTCTTCTTGTAGTCTCCAACACTATGGGGCACCCTGGGGTGAATGACTGTGTGAAGCCTGGCAGATACTTTCAGTGAAGGTGGGAGGCATGTGTGGGCAAAGAAATGTTTGCTGAATGTCAAACTATGTATTTGACAAATAAGTGTTAGGAAATTTGACTCCTGTCATCTCCACTCAATGCCTTGTTGCTTTCCCCCTCTGTCTAGGTATCTGATAGTGGTGTAGCTGCGCTGGTTAGTGGACCTTGTGCGAAGAAATTAGAGGTAATTAAAAATATGTGTACAGGTGATACTTGCTGAAGTTTTGTTATCCTCAGGAAGTGTTTCTTTAAACCTAGCAGGTAACCATGGTTTCATTATCAGTTAGGTATTTCCATGGATGCATTTTCACTTTCAGTTTTTCCTTGACTACTTCCCAAGTAAAGGAAAACTGGCAAAGTATGCTTAAAAATAAAGACCAGAATTATTCCAGCAAGTTTTTGTTTTTCATATGTTTTAGTTTTCAACACATTTAAAGATAGTCTTACTGTCATTAAAGATTGTATAAAAGTTTATCAGTGTGAAGTACCATTCTTTAAAATTTGCTTGTTGGGTGTTTCTACCAGGACTGTTTATTTTCTTGCCATCTTATTTATCTTGATACGCATAAATGGATTCATAATGTAAAAATTATTTGGAATGAAAGATATTTGAGAGTCAATGTGGAAAATAAAAAGATTTGGTCTAAAACACTCATGCCATCCCATATACCTAAAGGTAGAGATTGCCAAAAGAATTCCACCTCTATAGACCTCCTTCCACAACCCTGCCCTGCTCCTGTGAAGTTCCCTTTAGTATGGCACATAAATTCTGCTTTTCCCTTTAGTATGGTGTCAGAGACTAACCCTGATCATGGGTTGTTGGGGGGCATATCAAGCAGGGTCTTAAGGTGAGAGCGATGTCTGCAAGTGGAGATTTCCTAGAAAAAGGGGAAAAGGGGAGTGGGTGTGAGGAAGACACAGGAATCAGAGTTGGGTGCAAGTCTTCCTGCTCTGGTTTCAGCAGAGGTTTATTTTATACATTTCAAGCAAGCAGTGGGATGACATTAGCATATGAATTGGGCTGCGATCACGATCACCTTTTTTCTAAGAATAGTCTGGGGTCGTATTGACCTTTAGTTGAGATTATAACATTATTTTAAAAATCAGTCAATCAAGGTTAAAACAGGTACATAGATTCACAAAATTTAAGACTAATATTACTATATTTATGAAGATTAACCAAACTAAAGTCCCTTAAACCTTGTCTACTACTTAAAGGCTTTCCTTTTCATTGAGATATCCTAGGGGGTAAAGTAAAGTGAGAGCTGGAAGCTTAAGTGAATTTTATTCGTACTGTGTCTGGCGACAGAGTTGCATAGCTTGTGTCATGTCAGTATGGCATATAAATTCTGCTCATTCTTTTGAGCCACTTTCTTTGAGAACTCATAGCTGAATAAACTTTATTTTTCCTGCTAATCAATTTTTGTTATTTTGATTCATAGGCCCCCAAAGGAAGAACCTAACAGGGCAGACAAAAATTCTTCCTCCCCCAGAGTCACATTGTCAGGTCATCCTCAGAGACCTTAAAGCAGTGTTCATCCTGCAGGTCACTGACTGATGAAGCATTGCCAACCTCTTTCTAAATACTAAGAAACCTTTGATCCCAGGATTTTTTACTTCTTTCTCCCATGGATCATTATTTTTTCTTAAATCTTATTTAATATAACTATGCTTTTTAATAATAAGCCACATAAAGTTTTTTTCTTGGAAGTAAGAAAGTCATAAATGCACTGTTGTTAGTCATAATTATTACAATGGCAGTGTCATGTTTTTGCCAAAGTATTTCTCCATGAGTTACTTCTTGAAGAGATTTTTTTTACATATCAGATATCAGATATCATATCAGATATTTAATTATCCATATCCAGCTTGATTGTGTGTATGTGAGTGTGTGCATGTACAGATGATTAAATAGAACGCATATTTTTGTAAACCTTTTAACTAAGCAATCACCATATATATTTTTAATAATATAATAGTGTGTTTTTACATCATTTTGTGCCTTTTTCCATCTCTGTTGTAATCCCTGTGGGCTTCCCATCACCAAATCACCCGTGTACCGTCACCATAGCCCCATGCACTCCCCATTTTTGATCCCATTCTCCATTCCACTCCCGTAAAATGTCTCTAGTATATAGTTGTTTATCATTATTATTTTTCTCCCCTGGTCCTTTATGCTCCTTCTATGAGTGAAACCATCCGATATTTTTCTTTTTCTTTCTGGCTTATCTCACTAAGCATGATCCCGTCTAACTCCATCCATGTTGCTGCAAAAGCCATGAGTTTATCTTTTTTGCAGTCACCATATTTTTTATATCATTTCCCAGTTGCATCTTAACTGTAAGGACAAAGATGCTACAGATTTTCACTGTTCTGTATACTAGGATTTTTGAGCACTACTATGTCCCAGCCTCTGTGCTGTCCCAGCCTGGTATTTATTAGGTGATTTTATCCTTACAGCATCATTATCCACAATCACCATCATTTTAGATAAAGTTCTCAAATTGTAAATAGTTACTCACTCCCTATATAACCACTGGAAATCCAGTGCTATACAGTGAAAGGAAGTAACCTACATCTACTTCAGCTCCAGCACATCAGGAGCTCCCGAGCGGGCTGGGAAAGAAGCCCTGCAGCCACCCAGTGCTCATGACTGCTTTAGGCTTGGGGTCTGGGAGCCAGACCCCAAGAGGCTCTCAGTTGTCTCACCTAGCAAAGAATCCAACATTGAGAGCAAAGGTAGGGCTAGAGATTTATTGACAGATAAGAACAGGAACGTTCTCTGAGCCGAAAAGGTGTCCCGAGTGGGTAGTCGCTGAGGGGGCTAGAAGCAGGTGTTCACTTGGGTATAGTGGACAAGGAGTTGGCTCAATTTCTACAGTGAATGCTCTGTTATATTGGTTGGTTGAGGCCAGAGGAGTCTTCAAGATTACATACTTGCTTTCCAGAAAGCTTTGGCCCATTGCTTTGGCATTGTGTTACTGTGATGTTCTGAACATTTGATTTTTTTTTTCAAAGATTTATTTATTTATTCATACAGAATGGGGGTACAGGCCAGAGATGCGGAGGGTAAGAGGATTCACCAGAGGCAGAGTGGGGAGCAGAACAGGCAGATCGACGAAGCGCACTGCTGAGGGGAGCAGCGGGCAGGTCAGGAGAGGTCTGCCGCCATGTGGATCTCCTCCGGGGCAGGAGGGAATGGAACTCATGTGGAAGTGGCTTAAGCTTCCCAGTGCTGTGCTTTAACCCGCTGTGCCACCAGGGAGGGCCGAACAGCTGCGCCACCAGGGAGGGCCGAACATTTGATTTTTAATGGGTTGGGGGCACCCTAACCACAAGCCATTGTTCCTCAATCAGTTTGATAAATGGGCATAGGGCACCTGGGCTTGTCCCCTTGCCACACCCCTGGCCCCTCCTAACTAACCACCTATATCCATTTCCTAGCTTCCTCATTCATCTATAACGCCTGTCATCCAGTTTTTCATGTGATTAGTTTTCAAAGCTTTTTCTATCAATGTAAACACTTTAATAGAAACCTTCAAATTTACAAGAACTTACTTCCTTGTTAAACCAAATAGAGTGAAGAAACTTCAATCTTTGCCTCACTGTACCACTGTGACCACAATATCTTTTTTTTTAATGTTTATTTATTTATGCATACAGAACTGGGGTGCAGGCCAGAGGTGCAGGGGCAGTGAGAGGATTCACCAGAGACAGAGTGGGGAGCAGAACAAGCCGACTGACAAAGTACACGGCTGAGGGGAGCAGCAGGCGAGACAGGAGAGGTCTGCCGCGCCATGTGGATCTCCTCTGAGGCAGGGATGAGATTCATGTTGAAGTGGTTTTAGCTTCTTGGTGCTGTGCTCTAAGGGAGGGCCTGTGACCACAATTTCTAACTCAAATTAAAATACAGGCCTTTTGGTCTTTTACTGACTCTCCTGTTGTGGGTGATACATACACTGACCTTTTATCATGGACTCTGTTTAATCTGTTACTTTTAGTTCCTTCTATTCCAGGAAATTTCTGTGATCAGCATTGCAAATAGTTTATAATTTAAAAATAACTGATTAAAGTTGAAGGCCTTCTCCCAAAGATTGATACACACGTGGTACAGACCTCTGTCACCACATTTATTGATTGTTAAGATTGTCTCTGAACTCTCTGATCTGACTGGCCAGGTGCCCATCCTTTTCTATACATTTTTTTTTTAAAGATTTATTTATTTATACATACAGAACTGGGGTACAGGCCAGAGGAGCAGGGGTGGTGAGAGGCTTCACCAGAGACAGAGTGGGGAGCAGAACAGGCAGATCAATGAAGTACACTGCTGAGGGGAGCAGCGGGCGCGTCAGGAGAGGTCTGCCACACCATGTGGTCACCTCCGGGGCAGGCGGGAATCGAACTCATGCAGAAGCGGCTTTAGATTCTCAGTGCAGTGCTTTAACCCACTGCGCCACCAGGGAGGGCCAGCCTTTTCTATACATTTTATTCCCAGGTTTTATTGCAGCTCCAGACACCTGGTAATACCTTCATCAATGTCCTTTTCTTAACTGCTTGTGATAACCATTTTATAGGTTCATATAATGTTTGTGATTAAAAGTTTACAGTGTTAACTTTGATTTATTCAACAAATATTTGTTAAACACCTCCTCTGATGCTGGCATATCAAAGGAAAACACTGTCCCATCTGATCGCTCATTTTTTCTGTTTGCCATTCTCTTACTGGCATATTGGGTCCTGTTCAGTTTGTGGCGACTAGAGGGGAACTGGCAATGGTGTGCCATTGCCCTTCCCCAAGATTAGAAAGGTTCATATAAGGGGTGCACCCATTTCTTCTTCCACTGCTGCAGTGAACTCCAAAGTTGAAACATGGGGACAAGGGGTTTGAATACTTTTTTAATGGTCCTGAATACTGTGAACTGACTTTTTCTCCTAAAGGTTATATTGTGAATTCAGTTTTGCTGGGAACCTGAGTTGCCAGAATTGAATCTTTTCTTTCTTAATTTTAATGCAATATATTTTAAGTGGTGACTGAGTTGAGTACTGCTCCTTCTATCTATTCTCAAATTGCATTTGTTGGTCTGTGGCCTTTGCCAGGCTATACCATCAGATGTGTAAGCCTATTTATAACATCAGAGGCTCTTTGTCTCAGTTTGTTTTCATTTTAATCAGGTTTCCTTTATTGGTAAGATGTGGTTGATTAGTAAATGTGTACAAACTTAATACCTACTTCTCTGGACAAAGGAAACACTACTATGGTAAATATGCATGGCAGCTACTAGATAAAGCTCCAAGAACTTGGAGATTTTACAGTGTCTTCATTTTAGCTCCTTTGTGTTATTCTGTCACATGAATCACCATTTATTGGCATATGCTCTTCCAGATAATATTGCAGTGGTATGTTTATAGATTGTTGGCTTTAACACATCTACAGGAGTTTCTCAGTGGGTTTTAGGACATCTCAGCTTTAATAGACATTACCACTGTGTTTTATAAAGTAGTTAGGCATTTATTTAACTTTCAAAGCTGCAGACATACTTGTTCCTTTTTGAAGAGTTTTTCTTGCAAGTTGGTGATGAGTCTTTTTTTGTCATAGTGTTTCCTTGGCTTTTTTTTTTTCTTTTTTCTTTTCTTTTGACTTCACATTGTCTTCTCCTTCCTTTCTAAACAGGAGATTCATATGGGCTACTGTGTGAATCTGACTGATGAGGCTGTTGAAACTGTCCTCACTTGCTGTCCTCAAATGCAGATATTCCTCTTCCATGAGTGCCCCCTGATGACAGGTTAGTGCCGTGTGCCCTGGGGTTCCCAAGACGTGGTGTAACCTGTGATGATGTGTGACCCAGTATCATCGATTACTCCATGTCCCATGTTCTCACCTGTGATGTGGATCTGATGACAGTGCCTCTCTCATACACGTGGCCTGATGACCACATTGCCATGCTGCGTGGCACATACCCACGCTCGGTGAATGTTGGTTATGGAGGTGATGACATAGTGATGGTGACGGCTAGTGTGCTGTAATTGTTGATTAGGGTGAGGGCTGGTGGTGCTTGTGATACTAAAGATGAGGCTTCACACAGACAAAAAATACAAGTTTACAGCAGTGTGTCCATCAGGTATGCTTTCCTGTGCATGCCTTTACTTGCCATTCATAATGATCTGGATCTTGGGGCTGATGTGACACTTCACTGTAGGAGAGCCAGGTGGTCACCACCCATGTGGCCTTCAGTGCTTTTGTCAGTGCTGATACTGTATGTCACACACACACACACACACAAACACACACTTCATTGTTCCTGTCATGGGTCCCAGATCTCAGGATCACCAGCTTCTCACTCACAGTCAAGTACTTTAGCTCCTTTCTCTGATGGCAGTGTAAACATTTGCTCTCTGGGTGACTCGCTGCCTCTAGATGCCGTTCTAATAACCATTGTCCTTCCTTATATTTGGATTGCTAATCTACATGAGCCTTACATGGGTTGTATTTCAGCACTAGTGATATGTACAATGAAGACTAAATCCTATGTTAGGTAAAGGCAGCTTTCAAAAACACCAAGGTTAACAGTGCCACTTATGAAAGTGTTAATAGCATTTATCTCTAGGGAGATTGTGCTAGCACAAGAGTAGGAAAGGGCCTTCTCTGTACACTCTTTTGTACCTTTTGGATTTTGTGTCTGCGGATGATTTTACTTAGTAAAGTCAATAGCAGCACTAACATCAGCCAGAGCCAGCAAAATACATGGCACTGAATATGTAGGGTTGTGTAGGTGCCACTCACCTGGGGTGGTGAGATGGTTAACACTTAAAAGAGACCCTGTATAGTGACTCTCATGAACCAAGATTCTCACAGAAAACAGTGAAGGTTTTCGTGCCTGGTTATCTCTGCTCTTCCCCCTTCCTTGTCAATGCTGTCAAGGCATGAAACAGATGGAGCAATAGGCTCATTTTTACCTATTGTACATTTAATTCCGGTTTTCCTCCAAAAAGAAGAAGCCCTTTTTTATTTGTCTAATAAATGAAAGGTTTTTCTCCTTTTTGGTAAAGATTTATTTATTTATGTACAAGAACTGGGGTATAGGCCAGAGATGTGGGATGAAAAGGATTCACTAGAGACAGAGTGGGGAGCAGAACAGACAGATTGACTGAAATCCATTGCTGAGAGGAGCAGAGGGCGGGACAGGAGACATCTGTCATACCGTGTGGGTCACCTCCCTGGCCAGGCATTGGACTCTGTGCTGCAGTGGTTGCACATAGCTCCATAGTGCTGTGTTTTAACACCTTGTGCTACCAAGGAGGCCCCAAAAGTGTTTTCTTCCAGCATAACAACTTATATAACATGTTTCCCTGAGCTTGTTTGTTAATGTGGTTACTCACACATGACCATATAAGACCAGAATTTATATTCCATAAAAGGATGTATGTGCATAGGTAGGCACAGTTATATATTGTTATCCATAGAGCATTTGGTCCCCAGATTGGCAGTGTCCACTGTAGTTGCTACTGGATTCCCCAATAAAATAAAATACACTTATCTTGTCTATTGTATTTCTAAACACTTAACAAAACTTTTAAACCTTATAGTCAGACAATAAAGAGAAAGTCACATAAATTAGGTCTTGACACTGTTAAAAGTACTTTGATTGTATTTCTGCAGAAGATACTAAAAAACTAAGCTGCAGTTTAAAATTTGGCCAGCATAGTATAGTCTTATAGACATTGTGGAAGCAGAAAAATCATTTTTAAGGTATTAAATTCTTTTTACTTCACTTAATGTCAGCAACGGTTATCAGTAAGTTCCACTGCACAGTGAAAATAGGCAATAATTTACAGTAAATATACATTTCAGTTCCTCCTAACTTCCTGAGCACGTTTCCCAGTATGCATAGGCCTGGAGGTTTAGAATTCAGAAGAGCAGCAGTGCAGCTGGGGCACCAGAGTGTGTGTTTAAATTACAAGGCAGGAGGATGCGACAAGAAATCTGCCACTTCCAATTGCATTGACTCTAATTTTACATGGGAGGATTTGTTGCAGCCTGCTTACTTTACAAGCAAGTTCTTTACATAGATTCCTGGGCAATAAGTTGTCGAAATTCACCACAGAGAGTCGAAGCAAAAGTACTTCAAGACACAAGTGGTTTGCTTCAATTTTCCCTTTATTAGAGCTAATTCCTTGCTTAATGGACAACTCTTATTACTTATTTTACTTTAAAAAAGCCTATATTCTGTTTCCTCAACATCACTCATTTGCTACTGGTTCAACATAGCAGGCTTTTTATTAGGTGTAACTGGCATGTTACTGTCAGGGGTACAATGAAGGGGTGCAGAATAGACTGTTCCAAAATGAGCCATGTTTAGTTAAAGGCAGTCAAGACCCAACAGCAAAGAAAAACTTACTTCTGTCTTCACTACCTAGAAGAATCTAAATGAGGAACCTTACCATAGTGGATATTATCAGAAGTAAATTTTTATGACCTATGTTCATGGCAGGACAAACATCTGTATCTGCTTTCCTCATTGTCCTGTGAATTGCCCTCTTCCTTCAAAGACTGATGCTCCGATCTTTGGCTGGGGTATCACAGAAACTTCTTTGCCCCACTCATCCATGGGTGTCATCTCTTTGAATTTTTATACATAAGTAATTAACTTTGTTCTTTTCCTGTTAATAACATCTTATGTTGATTTAACTATTAGCACAGTCAGAGCACCAAGAAGGGAAGAAAACATTTTTCTCCCCTGCAACAGTAACACGACTCAGTATTTGTACATTCTATGCGGTGATGGCCCAGTCTAGTCTAGCCAACCTGTCACCTCACCCGGTTACAACATGTCAGAGCTTTACTGCAACAGAGCACATGATGCCAGCCACTGCAGTGAAGCAATAGAACTTGATCTTTGCAAAAATATACACCAGCCTCATTATTTGTAGTGTATTCTACAGAATTGTCCAATTTATATTTTCCTTGCTCATTTGAAAACTTTAATTTGAGTTGCTTTCAAAAAGTGGTCTTGTATATATCAGATCCTTTGACATCTTCCTTTCAACTATTTTCTAGATAAGGATGCAGATAGACAACAAATTCGAATGGCTTGCCCCAATCTTAGTAACAGAGTTTAGAACTGGGGATAAAAGTCTTTAAGTCACCTGATCTGAAACCTCTAGCTCTTTGCCCAGTAGAGCAATTTGCTGGCCTTTGCTTACCTATTACCAGAATGGGGAAAGTGGGAGGACAGCCTCAAATGCCAGTGGTGTGACTGAGCCCTGTTTAGTCCAGAGTGTGTGTTTTAAGGCCAGTGTGTTTTGTGCCACCTCAAAATATACCTCTTTGACGTGTTATTTTTGAGAAAAAGCAGACATGAGAGAAACCCTGAAAATAGCAGAGAAGTTTCCCTTTTGTAGCAGAAGTTTACCTTCACAGAGAAACTCTCTACTGTTGACAGATTCCATCATCTCCCCCTCTGAAGCAGGAGAGGAGGAAGACTCAACCACAAGAGAATCATATTAGTGAAGAAGGCACTGACTTAAATCTCTGAAACAAACTCTTGTTTGCTCTGCCTTTCCCAGTCATCTCCCTTAACTGCCCTCCCCACTCTAGTGTCTTTCTTTTGTCTTTAACGGAAGATTTTTTTAAAAAAAGATTTATTTATTTATGCATACAAGACCTGGGGTATAGATAAGAGGTGCAAGGGGTGTGAGGATTCAGCAGAGACAGAGTGGGGAGCACAACAGGCAGATGTACACTGCTGAGTGGGCCAGTGGGTGAGACAGGAGAGGTCTGCTATGCCACATGGGTCAGCTCCCTGACTGGGGATCTAATTCATGCCCCAGTGGCTAGAAATAGCTTGATAGAACTGAGACTTTAACTCCTGTACCACCAAGGAAGCCCTAGCTGAAGGTGGTATTTTTGGCCATCTCAGGAAGTTTGCTTATTTTTCCTAGGTATACCCACTATCTACATGTTAGATAAGCTTCTCTTTCTATTTTTAATTGCTCAGTGGTAAGGAATGGGGGCCAGGAACTCAGAAAATAGAGGGACAATTGTTTTTCCTCCCCTATAATTTCTGTACATTTTTCTGGCAAGGAATCATGAACTACTTAGAGACCACAGAGTTTCTCCCATAGTAAACTCATAAGTACTGGATGAATCTGTGACTCTAACTCACTCTTTTTTTTTTTTTTTTTAATATTTATTTATGCATACAGAACTGGGGTAGAGGCCAGAGGTGCAGGGACAGTGAGAGAATTCACCAGAGACAGAGTGGGAAGTAGAACAGGTTGATCTACGAGGTACACTGCTGAGGGGAACAGTGGGCAGGTTAGGAGAGGTCTGCCACGCCATGTGGGTCACCTCTGGGGCGGGGATTGAACTCATGCTGAAGTGACTTTAGCTTCATAGTGCTGTGCTTTAACCCACTGTGCCACCAGGGAGGACTCACCAACTCACTAAATTCTTAACTTTAATGTGCGAAAGCAGCCTGGAGACTTTGAGTAATGTAATACTGCCATCTAGAGTTAAATATTTTTAGCCACTTAAAAATAAATGCTTTCTCTTTGGAGGGGAAAGTATCTTCCTATTTATGAATAATAACAAATTTCTACAGAACAGTGACAAATACAGTCAGAAACCAAGTATTATATTTTGGGTAACATTTTCTTAACCAGCAAAAATACCTAATAAGTCTCAAATTACCAGCTAACGTGAGGCATAAATTTCCAGTTTTGTCCTTTTTCAAATTGTGGCCATAAAGGGTCTCTGGACTCAGTGACCCAGTAACATCTTGTCAAGTTCTTTAAAAAGGAGAGCCAGGGCCTCCCTGGTGGTACAGTGGGTTAAAGCACGGCGTTAAGAAGCTAAAGCCGGCCCTCCCTGGTGGCGCAGTGGGTTAAAGCACAGCACTGAGAATCTAAAGCCGCTTCCGCATGAGTTCGATTCCCGCCTGCCCCGGAGGTGACCACATGGCGTGGCAGACCTCTCCTGACCCGCCCGCTGCTCCCCTCAGCAGTGTACTTCGTCGATCTGCCTGTTCTGCTCCCCACTCTGTCTCTGGTGAATCCTCTCACCCTCCGCATCTCTGGCCTGTACCCCAGTTCTGTATGAATAAATAAATCTTAAAAAAAAAAAAAAAAAAAAAAAGAAGCTAAAGCCACTTCAACTTGGGTTCGATCCCTGCCCCGGGAAGGTGATCACATGGCACGGCAGACCTCTTCTGACCTGCCCCTGCTCTCCTCAGCAGTATACTTCATTGATCTGCCTGTTCTGTTCCCCTCTCTGTCTCTGGTGAAGCTTCTCACCACCTCTACACCTCTGGCCTGTACCCCAGATCTGTATGCATAAATAAATAAATCTTTAAAAAAAAAAAAAAAGGAGAGCCAGCTGGGGTTGTGATAGGGATCATACGGGACCTCCTACCCTGTTGAAGAAGTATGGCTTACTAGGCCTGCTGATCCATGAGCATGAATGTCTTCCTTTTGATTAGATCTTACTTTTGTTTTGCTTAAAACCTGGTAACCATAGAAGTTTATGAGTTTGGCCATCTATGAGGACTGCTAAACCAGAACCTAAGACTAGGCTAGAGGTACACATTTATGGAACATGTTTATTAAATTTAGATTAAAGAAATTATTTATGCATACAGAACTGGGGTACAGGCCAGAGGTGCAGGGGCAGTGAGAGGATTCACCAGAGACAGAGTGGGGAGCAGGATAGGCAGATCGACAAAGTAAGTACACTGCTGAGGGGAGCAGCAGAGGGTCAGGAGAGTCTGTCTGCCACACCATGTGGATCACCTCTGAGGCAGGGGATCGAACTCACATTGAAGCAGCTGTGGCTAACCTGCAGCACTGTGTCCTCTAACCCACTGTGCTACCAGGGAGGGCCAAATTTAGAATTTTTAAAGTAATAGAATCCTATTGGTATTTTTGTTTTAATTCATGTTTTTAAAAAACATAAAACTGGCTTTGCAAAATAAATGTAACTTATATTAAAATCACTACAATCCTTTATGAATTATTGAAAAAGCAATGAAATGTCAGTGATATAAATTGGTTAGGTTAAATGAATTTACACAGCAGCTACCTGTCCAGCCCTCTTTATCACAGTACTGTATGAGCCAGAGGCCCTGCTAGGTGGCCCTGTTCTAATCATGTCCTTCCTCTAAGTCTTTCTGGGTAGTTGCCATTTTCCAATAAGCTTCAGCCTCCTGGTGGCTTCCTTTCATTCTGTTCATGTTTTTGTAAGGAGTCACTAAATTAAACTCCATTTAAATGCTCCATTTAAGTGAGTCATCTATTTCTAGTATAGGGACTCAGGGGAAATATTCTTTTAACCCATTGGGTTCTTCTCAGGCTGGTCAAAGAAATGAACATCAGACATTAGTAAAAGAAAAAGAACAAATATAATTCCATATGTATGAAGACTTTAAAGTTTGTGAATTGTACAGTAAATGAGACTGAGGGGTTATATCCTGAGTTTAGGAATCAGATAGGCCTGAGGGTTGATGAGGGGGTGACTCATATGACAAAACGAGATGCTTTAGAAATTTGCCCTGCCCTGAGATATGGGTTTCTTTGATAAAAGGGCGGTTTCTGGAGAAGACAGTAAACCCAGGTAGTCCTGACTGTGCAAGGAGATTATAATAGTTTCCCTTGAAGCCCACTCGGACTCTGGTGATGTTAGTGCTACCTGCCAACACGACACATTTTTGAAAAAGCCTGCTCTAGACACCTTGGAGCAAGCCTATCCTAGCATTTTGGGGAGGCTGATCCTTACCCCTCCAGGAATCTGAGAAAGTTAGTAGTGAAGTTATGCCACTTCACATTGGTTAGCAGAATTAAGATGAAATTACAGAAAAAAATAAACACTTTTTTTCATCACAGTATTCCTGTGATGTGCCCTGCAACTAACAAGAGGGTTACCATTAAGTGTAGTTTTAATTGTACACTATTCTTGATATATCATCTTCTTTAATCCTTTAAGTAATCCTATGAGATCTAATAGTTATCATTCCCAGTTTACCTGGAAGGACATTGTTAGAAGAGTGGGTGCTCGTGTGCTGGGTGCGGACACTGGTGAAGAGTAACAGCTGCTACACTAAACATGAGAGCAAGCAAGTGTGGATTTATTGAAGCAAGAGGAAAGAATTCCTGACAGCAGGAGGTGGTCCCAGGCAGGATGCGTTTACTCCAGCCTGTCTATGACTACAGGCTATCAGACTTCCTGTTGCCCAGTGTGACAGACTATTGATTAGGTGCTAGGTGGTCAGGAAGTTTCATGGTGGTGGTTTTTCTGTTCCCTAATTATCTCATGACCAGATCTTATTCTATTTGGTAGCTAGCTCAGCAACATTTCAGTAAAACACTTCCATTTTCCTGGGAGCTGTTTTGTTCCTATATTGTTTAAAATCACTCCCATGTCTCAGCCTTTCCTGTTCCCCAAGTTTTCCTTGGTCTCAGTTCTTCTCAACATGTTAAATCTCTTTGATTACTGTGAAATCAAATGTTCTCTCGTTATTTTCTGTTGTAGATCGTTCCCGAGAAGTCTTGCAGCGATTAGTCGGCCCAAACAAACTAAAACAAGTGATGTGGACTGTTTATTGATGTTCCTTGAAGCTTATCAAGCCTTGATCTCCATGCTGTTTCCCGGGAAACAATGGTCTATAGAGCCAGGCTTGCCACTTAGCTCAGCTGCCCCCGACATTTGTTGTCTTCTTTCAGGTTTTAACTGTGGGCGAGTGGGGGGTTGGGTGGGATGAATGACCCTTTTTCCACCTGGTAAGCCCAGCATGGCCTCTAGCCTGTTTGGGGGTGGAAGACATTATGTGTGTTTCCTTAATAAAGTTTTTCCTGTATTTTCTCTGTATCTAGATAATGTAAGCTGCTATAAGAGAAATTTACTTGTATGGATAAAGAGAATCCTACCTAAGACTGTTAAAAGTAGAACTGACTTCCTGCTTTCCAGCTCCTTCCTTCCTGATCTGTTTGACTGCCCATTGGCCAAAAGTGGTCAGGCTTGTAAATTCTTCACTGAATAGATTACATTATCTCAATGAAACAAAATAATTGATGTTCTAAGCTGTGACATCTCACACCTGGTCATTAGCATGTGTGCCCAGCCTCTTTATTTCATGGATTTTTATGTTATTTTTCCCAAATGTGTGCTGTTCACCTATGAATTCCCTACAAAGCAGGTCCTGCATTCAGGAGGGGTTAGAATAAGAAATGCAAACTGTCACAACAGAGGATGGTTTCACATTTTTAAAGTGTACTTACTGCCCAAGTCTTAGTTTTCAAACAGACTGGTTTCCTCTTCCGTAGGCACAGTCTCTGAAGTGCGCTCCGAGGGTGCCCAGGGCTCCCCTCAGCTCAGCCTGTGCCCTACACCTTGAGCCTGCTTCAGAGGGCTTCCTTCAGACTTTGATTTAACTCCAATATCATGAGATGTGGGGGAGTGTGGCATGGCCCATTTCCACATGCTGAGGGCAATTCCCACCCCCGGGTAGCTCAGTGCACACGCTGTGTTTGGAGTGCAGTTTCAGAGGTGGTCCCTGTAGGCATGTGAGAAACTGGCAGGGCCTCTTCCATCTACAACTTTTCTCTGAAAAGAAATTCAATAAAACTTAATGTTGACTAAGTAAGTCAATAGGTTTTCCCCCTTGGGGGAAACTAGTTTCAAACAGCTTGACTTCTTGCTTTTGTTACTGCTAGTCATATTAACTCTCCCTCTCCCTGCTTAGTTTCAGCATCCACCCCTGGCCTCTATCCTTATCACCTTCACTTTTTTCCTGCTCACTGTCTGAATGTTTTTTTGTTTGTGTGTTTATCTCTCTCCCTTCCCTAAATTAGGTTTCAAGAAGACAAAAATCTTTGGGATTTTTTTTTCTGCTGTATCCCCAGTGCCTAGAATAGTTCTAGTACTTAATAAGCCCCCAAATATTTATGGGACAAGAGATTGGAAGTCATCATCCTGTCCTCACGAAAAAGTGAAAGCGGAACTGAAAATCATGAATTGGGACAGTATTATCTGAAAGCAGATTTGACTTATTATATTTGTATAGCGCAAACTCCATGTTGGGTGCCAGCCGGGATGAGCCTCCCCAACCACCCCCGGAGCTTAAGCACAAGATCATAATAGGAAGAAGACATCTCGCCACCTGTATGAGTGGCTTAACCTTTGGGCAACTGATTAATATCCACCCTGATCGCAGTGGCACATGTGAGGGAGATTTCCTCCTGCCCCCAGGCCAACATCCTGAGATTAAGGGTATAAAAGGGAGGCTGGAAAGGATAATAGAGAGAACGTTTTGCTGCAACCATCTACGTGTGCTGACTCTTCAACCTCGACATCCCCCTTGCAGACTGGTATCCCTGCCGTGCGGGCACGGCACTCCAGGCCAACTATAATAAAAAAGTATTTTAAATCATTGATACCCTGAGGGAGAAGAAGAATCCTATCAAAGATTCAGTAAAACGCAGAGAAATCAAAAAGAGCAGCACATGCACACGCGTGCATACACACACAGTGAAACAAAGAACAAGGGCGACAGGAAAGCTATAAATAGGGCTCAAATTAATCCAGCTACATCAATAACCACTTTAAAATATGATTATGATTATGTCTTTTAAGGCGGTGAAGTCATTTCAGGGTTCACTGCTGCATAAGTAGGAGATTAAAAACTACTTTAACACAGGGACATCTCACAGGCCTTCTTGTGCCCCCTTCCTAAGTCACTGAGTAAGGGTGACAGGAACAGTGTTTGCAGATACTTGACCCTGAGTCAATTCTTCCTCACTCAGTTGCTTTTCACTTAGTGCTCCATAGTATTTTTCCTTCTTATCTTGCTTAGAGGGGAATAACCAGCAGAATACCCTGAATTTTCAGAAAAATGTGTGAATAACACTAATCCTTATTCTCCAGGGTCAGTGTGGCCTATAATTTCTATTAATTTTAATCAAGGCCAAGTCAAAATTTTGAGTTTATGGCTTGAATGACTCAGTGAACCAATGGAAACCGTGTGCAGCAGAAGTTGACTTTGGCACAGGGCTATATAATAAACGCTTAAATGTTCAAAAATCACAATTAAGTATATTCTGAGAGCTTGTGAAATCCAGTGTGTTTTGGAAACAAGATTTGCCATTAAACAGAAACTCATTCTTTAACTGGGGAGCCTGCAGGCCCAACCCAGACACAGCGGGGCCCACCTCGGGTGCACTGTGGTGGTTCAGGGCTGAAATCCCACACTGTGCTCATGGTCAGTCCATTGTTCTGCTGCCGCGTTGGCTCTGGAAGTGAGTATTCCACCAGCCTGTGCACTTGGTGCTGGATCCGGTGTCCACTGAACTGTGGCCGTCCAGGATCACCAATCAGCACCCGAGTTCCATGGGCCCAAAAGCAGTTCTTCAGCCACTGATGCAGACGATCCGCAAGGTCTTCGTCATAAAACATATCTCCAAGCACGATAAGGTCCCACTTCTCTTGTTTCAAATCCAAGATGTTTTTTGTTAAAATGGGAAAAGGAGTAAGTTGGTTCAATTCACAATTCAGTGCAATAGCCATTCCTGCAACTTAAAAAAGCAGATAATGAATCGGGAAGTGCGAGATTGTTTTAATCCCTACTGATCAAGTAATTAAAAAAAAAATCTTAACAACACTGAAAACTGCTTTTTTTTTTAAGGTAAAGCCAACAGCTTATGCCAACATAAGTGTTGCCATTTTCAAATATATGAATGGGCAACCTGAAAACAATACAAAACACCTAGAAATGCTGAGGTCTGAAGAAGACCCACCTCAATAAACAAGTTTAGAAACATCAGCTACGCAGGACACAGGCAAACAAGCCTTAACTTAAGCAATGTGACAGGTGAAATTAAACCCCCAGCATAATAAGGCTCTCAAAGGCAATATCCTCACTGAAAGGTAGACTAGAAGGAAAGCAATGAAACTAAAACTCACCAGTGTCCATTTGAGTTAGAATACAATCTCCCTCAAAGACATACGCCTATTCTCCTTGCATTTGGGATGAAATAAACACTAGTTACATATTTCAGGGAATTCCTAGCCAAGAAACTAGCCAAGCCACCACTATGGCCATCTCCCAGGAACAAGTACAGATACTCCTAGAAAATCCCACCTACTCCCAAGATTCCCAGAGGAGGTCTCACTGAACATAAATTCACAATGGCAGCTTATAAAGCATACAAGGAAAGAAACTATCCTGCTGAGGCAGCTGGAGATGTTTCTCCTAAAAGAGAGAAAAAATGAGCTTTTGCTGTATTTTAAGAATGAAATCCTTACTTGGGTCTATGTCGTTGGCCAGGATCCTTGACGCCCCGCTCATCTTAGCAGCAATAGCTGTGGCTCCACATCCACTCCCAAGATCTAACACAGACTTTCCTCTGACAACACTGGGATGATCCAAAATATACCTAAATTAGAGTGGGAAACATTGTCTAAGCAGAGTTGGAAGGAGCTAAAAAGAGATCTACAGTAGCCTTAAAGGCTCCCAGTTCAGGCAGAGCCGTACCTGGACAGAGCTTGGCCTCCAGGCCAGTAGATTGCCCAGTAAGGGTCACTGTGGGGCCAGAGCTCGGCTCTTTCCCACCAGAATCTGCATCTGGGGGTCAAAAGCCGCAGGTGGATCTCAGGGGTGAGGCTGCCGCTGCTGGTGACTTCAGTGTTTTCCTCTATGAAAGCTTTCATCATTTTAGGGTCCAGAAAGCTCCCAGCCCCTCTACAGGGGCAGCGGTACCTGGTAAGTTGGGGACGGCCACTGCTTCTCACAGCCTTTTGGGGGAATCGTGTAAACACTCTCAGACCCACGCACAAATTCATTGCTCCTTTTCCAAAACACAGGTTTTCTGTCAAAGCTGCTGTTGAGAAAAAGTTGCTTCTTGTGAGGAAGAGTAAGGTCTGGTTCCCAGCTTGGTCTCAACGGTACTCTGCATCTCTATAATCAGAAAGAACCTTGAAAACTCCAGAGCTGACACTTTCAAAAACTACTACCTAGTAAGAAAACATTACAGGCTCAGCTTTAGCAAATAATCAACAAGACATCAATGCAGAAAAATCCAATCTCTTAACAAGATGTCGCTCACGAGACAGTTTTAATAATCTAGAAGAGCCAAAAAAAAAAAAAATCCTCCAGAACGTGCCTGTTACAAAAAAACATGGCATAATTTTACAGCTCTTTCATACACTTAATGAATCACTGCATTTATGCTTAGCAACTATGAACAAAATTCTCAGAATAAAGGACATTGATAGTGATGGGACCAGACAGTTAACAGGGCAAACATAGTCCTTGCCATTGTGAAATAGAGCAATGAGTTGTAGGATTAACAAATTATAATTGTCACAGCATGGAATATCAGTGCAACCAAAGGGTTTTTCCCCATAAAAAAAAAATGAGTTTTGGGCCCTCCCTGGTGGCGCAGCGGGTTAAAGCACAGCACTAAGAAACTAAAAGCCACTTCCACATGAGTTCAATCCCCGCCTGCCCCGGAGGTGACCACATGGCGCGGCAGACCTCTCCTGACCCGCCCACTGCTCCCCTCAGCAGTGTACTTCGTTGATCTGCCTGTTCTGCTCCCCACTCTGTCTCTGGTGAATCCTCTCACCCTCCGCATCTCTGGCCTGTACCCCAGTTCTGTATGAATGAATAAATAAATCTTAAAAAAAAAATGAGTTTAATAAAAGGGTGTCACTTGTCAGCTCTCTTTCTATACATATTTCTAATAATTCATCTTTATCAAGCCTGGGCTTAAAGGCCTTGTAAGAGAAAACATGTTGATAATGTAGGATTAGCCGCCCCCAAAAAAGATTAGACTTTCCCAAAATGTCAGAAAGCAGCCTTTTCTGACATGTCTCATTGGCAGCTGGTGCTAAGATTACTAGAGGTTTTGTGTACTTCAAGAGAAACTGTTAACAAAGAATGAAGACTACTGGGGTTTACCATCATCTCCAGAAATACCTTTTTGTCAGAGAAACCCACCTCAAGGAAGGGCAAACATCTAAAGCATCTGGTTTTGTCATGAGTCACCCCCTTCTTGTCATTTAAGACCCCCCTCTCCCTCCCTGATGCCCAGATCCCGTCTTATTCCTTATCATCCCTCAAGTGTCATTTACTCTAGAATTTGCTGCCATATATATTCAGCCACATGTTTTCCCACATGTATATTGAAGGAAAGCAGTTTGGCTTAGCAGTTTAGCTTAGTTAGCAATCCTGGGCCTCAGGCTGATAAGGAAGCGCCCGCGACCTTGATTAGGTTCTGGCTGTCTCCATCCCCGTACATAGGCACAGATCCAAAAAACCCCAGCATTATAGGTTCTTTTGTAAATAATTTTGATACTTCCCATCCGCTTAACCGGGGCCTGGCCAATGGGCGCAGGCCACGGTAGCCCCCTTTTGTTACAGTAATCTCCTTTTCATGTATATAAGCTTGATGCTGAAAATAAAGACAGGGACTTTCCTGGTGAACAGACTCACGGTGTCCGTCCTTTTTCCTTTCATATATAATTGAATTTATTCTTTTCTCCAGTTAATCTGTCTGATCTTAAATTATTTTGCTCAATCATCCTGAGAACCCAAAGGGACGGGAGCATATTGGAATGAGGTGTGACAGCAGCTTAGACGCAAATTACACACCCAGTTGTTTGGAACCTCTGACCTGCTTTGCAAGGAGTCCTTTATCAACTCACGTCTTTTAGAATAAGATCTCCAAACTCAAATGCCTAGAAGGGGCCAGGCTGGTGATAAATGAGATGCAGGCTGGTTACAGGATGACAAGAGCGTGCCAAACTCAGGAATTTTAACAGTCCAGAGGGGGCAGCAAATAATGGCCAGAACTTGCAGCTTCTCGACAATCCTATCACCGGCACAGACCTCCGTGGGACACCTGCCAGGCCACCAATGTGCGGATGCTGGATCAATGTCCGCGCGGTCAGAGTCCGCTGGGCTCACTATCTGGGGGTGGGCTGTCCGGGGCCGCATAAGACTAGGGTTAGAGGACAACAAGCGGCTGCGCTGTGGCTCCGGGGCAGTGTGGGTTAAGGGGTGGAGGTGGGGACCACGCAGAGCAAGAACGACAGATGGGGGAAGACGGGTGGAAGGAGCAGCGTGTGTGCCTACTTCCAATCCAGGAGGCAGGGGCGGGCGCTGCTTTCTTCTTCCCCTTACCTGGCTGTGCTAACACCGCCAGGGAAACTAAAGCGCAGAGCACAGGCGTGGCCCCCCGCACATTCTTGACAAGGGCATGCCCGGTTCTACTTCCTGGCAGGCAATGAGTGTGCGCGGGCATGGAGCATGCGTAGTGGGACAACGGGGTGGGGGGGGGAGAATATGGGGAGGTGCGGAGCATGCGCAGAGCGGCGGAGGCTGGGCGAGGCGGGACAGTGCAGCGCAGCGGATACGAGCGGGCACAGGGCATGCGCAGAGTTTGCGGCAGCACGGAGCACGCGTACAGGGTGGAGGGCGGCCCTGCAATGTCCAAATGCGACACCTGAGGGCGTCCCAACGTCACTTGGAAAATGTGGGGACGTGCATCTATTCTGAAGCCGTGGGCCAGTCGCACTCTGGGCTGTGGACAGAGCGGTGAGCAGAGCCGGGTAGACGCCATATGAGTCTGATATGGCTCCCCTCACTGCCCTGGATCCGCGCGTCCGCAGGTCACAGCATTCTCACTCAGGCTCCGACCCGCCGACCCCGGGCCTGGAAGCGAGTGTCCCCGTGTGGCCTGGCACAGTCCCCACACCTTCAGGGCCTACTCCCACCGCCTGATGGTTCCCATCTGCCTATCAGTTGACACCAGCCTGACACCTGCGTGAAGGTTCCCACCGCCCAGTAGGTGGTCTCTACTTGCCAGCCGGGTTCTAGTTCCCACCTGCCTTCCTTTCAGACGCCAGACTGACTCCCACCTGACGGGTCTCACCTCCGTGGCCTTTGTCTTCATGAGTGGCTGCTCCTGCCTGTCTGATGGTTCCCATCACCTGATCGAAGTTTGCACCAGCCTGGCAGTTCTACCTGCGGTCTCACACTAAGCTGGACGAGTTGCTCATGCGTTTTGTTTGCACTCAGTCTGGCCGTGGGCACTGGCACTCACACTGCCCGGGTTCCGCCCTTCAAGGTCTTGTTTCCAAGCTTGGGGGCATCACTGCCCAGCTGGACGTGTTGTGCCAGTCCAGCCCTGGTGCGGCCTGACATTTGCTTCTTGGTCTATGCTGCCTTTATTTCCTGACCTTCCTGAGTATCTTCTCTAGAGGTTCCCCATAAACACTGTTCTCAGAGTTCAGAGTGGTCCAAATATAACTAGTGAATACCCAAAGTATTCGCTAGTTAATTGTCCTGTGCATCCCCAAAAAGACAGTTTGCAAACCATGAGCCCCAAACCAAAACATGCAGTGAGGCTTAGAATCTTTTGTTACAAAGTAGCCTCTATCATGAGCAGTCAGTGTTTGGTTACAGAAGTTTCTTAAGATGGGGAGTTTGTTCTGTGTTAACTTGGTGTCAATTGGACAGTTTCAGTTTTGTGTATGAGTTCCTGAGTTATCAGCAAGAGATGCTCTAAGTTAGAGTCTTCCCAAATAAACTACATTAAGCTTTGTCTGCCTACCTAAACTGGTCTTGTTTGCTTAGGGAATTCTTATGGCTGATCTCCCCTTGATTTTGACACTTAACCAAGCTGAAAAGGTGTTGTTGTGACTGGATAAAACTGTTCATCAACTTACTAGCTGCTTTAAAAAAATTAGTTGCTGGGGCCCTCCCTGGTGACGCAGCAGGTTAAAGCACTGGCACTAAGAAGCTAAAGCCACTTCCGCATGAGTTCGATTCCCACCTGCCCCAGAGGTGACCACATGGTGTGGCAGACCTCTCCTGACCCGCCGGCTGCTTCCCTCAGCAGTGTACTTCGTTGATCTGCCTTCTGCTTCCCGCTCTGTCTCTGGTGAATCCTCTTACCCTCCGCATCTCTGGCCTGTACCCCAGTTCTGTATGAATAAATAAATTAATCTTTAAAAAAATTAGTTGCTGGTACAAAGTTTTGTTTTCTCATTTTCATGTACTCTTAGATTCTCCTGCTACCAGTAAACTCTTGTACATGTTTAGGATCAGTTTTCATCCAGCTCCTGTGTTATACCCCAGTCGATAGCAAGAACATCCTAGCCATGGCCCAAGATACTGCAGAGGTGCTTTATGGCTGTGATTAAACCAACAGTTGGCTTTGATGTGGTTCACATTTCCTCAGGCATGTCTCTCAGGGCATGTTAGGAACCTAAGAAGTAGCAGGTAGCAATGACCACTGGAGTTAGAGAAAGGTGTCCCCACTTAATGAATTGTAAATTCCCCATTGAGAATCTGCCAGAGGTAGACATGGGAGGAAGAAAGTGAACTAGAACTAGTGTTCACCTTCAAGGAGCTCTAACATGAATTTCAGGGTGCCTCCCTGGTGGCCACCAGGTCTAAGTGTCAGTGTTACCACTGCCACAGCCTGTGTTCAATACTCTGTCAGGGAGATGATCCTCTCCTGTCTTGCCTACTGCTTCTCTTAGCAGTGTATTTAGTGTATTTCAGTCAATCCACTTGTTCTGCTCCCCACTCTGTCTCTGGTGAATCCCTCTCCCCCTCACACCTGTCCTACACACCAGTTCTTCTATGCTAAATAAATAAATAAAACACGAATTTCAGATTTTAAAATATGTCCATGTTACAAAATAAATTTTGTAAAAGAGCAGTGCATAGTGGAGATACAGTCTAAAGGTGACCTTGATTCGGTGACTTAACCTCTCTGTGCTTCAGACGTCCTTGCCTGTAAACAAGATAACCTGTATCATAGTGCATCATGGGTTGTAGTGAGGATTGAATGAATCACTGCATGGAATCTTTTTACAGCAGGCTGGAGCCACAGAAAACACTCTGAAGGTCTATAATAGAAATCAGTGTTACTACTCCTATATATGTATATATGTGTGTATGTATATGTATGTGTATATGTATATGTGTATATATATATGTATATATATCATTGCATGAGCCAAATCAACTAGAATTCTTTATAAACTTAGCACAGGGAGTCCTCACCTATTAGTTATTTCAGGATTTGGTGGGTGGTTTTGGCTTGGTTTGGTTTTTTGAGGCTGGTTTTTCCTTTTTCTCCCTAACCCCCTTTATCTTTACACAGAGACGTTGTAACAGATGATACTTGTTTCCCAAGCCTCCTTAAGCCATGCTATCACTTAGGATGTGCAAGTTTTGCAGTTTAAAAACCGAATGTAACACCATTCTGTTGTGATAACAGAATATAACCAAAACTGTAATTAAAAACATAATTAGCAACTTCTTACTTATCTTAAATTGAATTCATTATTGAAAACTTCTTACTTACCTTGGTACTCACCGAAAAACAGGGTAGAAATTTACAAGGACGGAAAGGAATAATGGCCAATAAAAGAAATATCTGGTACTCGGTTTTAGAGGTTGACAGTCTAGTTTTTCAGAAAATCCTATTTCATATGGGACTTACGGGCTTTTTTTTTTTCTCCAGCCTCTATTGGCATTGGTTTTGCACCTGTACATAGAAACAAAGACAGAGACCATGAAGATAGCTTCCTTAAGAGATGAGGATAATGCGTGGGAGGAAAACATTATTTGGAATGAATTTGACTCAGCCATCAGAAATGAAGCAGGACAGAGTCTCCACAATGAAACATAAATGTTCCTACCAACCCTTGCATTTCATATTTCCAGCCACTGTGTGTTTCAGACCTGCACTTTCAAGTGAGAAAGAAACCTGTAAACCCAGAAAGTGATGGACTGAGACTCCCATACTGACAGCACTCACTGCTGGGCATCTGTCTGACAGGTGATTTAACACCTTGTTCTGTGTTCCTTTATCTTGATTGCAAAAATGAGGGAGAAAATGTAAAAGTAAAGACATTATATGGACCCCACTATTACACTATAATTGAGCCAGAGGTGATTCTCCAGTGTCTACTGGTCCAGTTGTAAGGGAAAGGAAGAACATTTTAAAATTTGTGCCACCTATTAGAAAATGGTGAAAAAAGAGTAAAGGCTGGTTATCCATGCTGGTTCTCAGGAAGCGAATTCTCTCATAACATGTAAGCGCATGCAGAGTACATTTATCCATCTTTTTCACCTTTTGATTTCCAGAAACGTGGACAGGACAAGAGGAAGAAAGGAGAGGCGGTGAGGTAGTTCTCTCTTCAGCCACCAGAGACATGTCCTGGGCACGGCGTGGGGAGGGCGTTTTGAGGAGGTAAATACAATCTGCTGTTTAGTGCATTCATTAAGGTTGGCCATTTGCAAATTAGTATTTGTGACCTAGAGTCTGCCAGAGAGTTAGGATGTTTACTAGGTTGCTCCTGCTTTACTAGCATGCCTGGTTTAAATGCTTTGAAATGTCATGGGGGGTTCGGGGGTGGGGGAGGTAATCAACTCACTTCTTCATGATCACAAGAGACAGTAAAGATAATCCAGCTCTGACTAGAAGCTTTGATACTCTGGAGTGGATAATCTTATCTCTTTGAACTCAGAAACACCAAATCTAAGCAAGAATCTGACCTTCAATTTCTATAAATCTTTAAATTAGATAAACTGATACGTTTATCTGAGTAAGTGCTATTATGTCAAGACGAGAGTCAGATTCTAGACTGAATCCAACCCTAAGTTAAGAAGATGGCCACTGTCCAGCCTGCTGCCCCCTCACCTCTGCTCTCCAGTAGCTTGCCCTTCCCTAACTGCTCATTTCCATTTCCACCATCCGCCCTTTTAAAGGCCTGAGCTACTTCAAGCCATCCAGGCTGCAGGGAGAACTCTGGGCAGGTAAGCCTAGCTGGTGGCTAAGGAAGATCTCCAGGGAGTGAGATCCATTCCTCTTACCACAGGCCAAAAACCAAGCTGGGCAGGGTTCCAGGACTGAGTCTGGTACTGTCACACTCCCCAGAGATTGTCACACAAAGAACTATAAATTGCAACCTAGTAAATCATAACAAAGAGAGCAGAATATAGTGTTGGAGGCACATGGTTTAATGGAAAGAGCTCTTTCCATTAAAAAGAGCTTGTTTTACCCAGCGACAGCCCACTTGTAAAATGTGGGTTTTACTGCTTGCTTTCTGTGTGGGCAGTCTCCAGCTGTGGGGAGACATCTTCCTGTGAAGTCCCAGAGTGCTCACAACAGGAATGTGGCTTGTTTTTGTGCTCACCATTCTGCACAGCCCACATGAGGTCCCTCCTAGCTTGAAACAA